AGACATAGACAATAATAAAACAATCAACACGTGTCAAGGAACCATGCATCTTAGTCATCAAGTATCCCAAGCGAAAAACACTTTGGCTTTTGTTTCTTACTAATTTGTTTTTTCAAAAGGACAAATATTTATAACCTTATTATTGTGTGATCGACTAATATAATACACGTGGAACGAGGATGGATGATCATGAAGCATATAAGAGAATTATAATACGACGTCGTTTGCCTCATTTGCTGTTGGTATCGGAATCCAATCGCATCTTGTGGATTCTTTGCCTTGATTCTCTCTCATCTCTCCTCTGCGCGTAGGCATCAAAGAAGTCTTTGTTTTCTTTCTCCAACTCCTTCCACACTGCTAACGTTAATGGCAAAATTAAAAAAAAAAAAAAAAAAAAAAAAAAAAAAAAAAAAACCCCCCCACCACCTCAAAAACCCCCCCCCCCCCCCCCCCCCCCGAGAAGGAGAAGCAGCCACTGGAACAAGTGCAAAAGTTTTGAATACTTACGAATTTAGGCAAAAAGACACCAAACATAATTGATTGAAATCACAAAAGGAAGACTTGAAGGAAAGTTTAAAGAAGATGGGAAGAACAAGGAGGAAATTCTATGAGAAAATTTCATAAAATCATAGGTAACACATAAAAAGACTATTATATATACGTATTTAGTTACCATATGGATGTACTCAGCTGGAGAATCGCCCATGGATGACTTCTTCGTTATCAAGAAACCTTTAAAGAGAGATCAAAATGTGGAAATTAAAGAAGGAAATAGAAAGGGTAAGAAGAAAATTGAAGAGAGAGCTTTATGGTTAGGAGAAAGTTGATAGAATATAGCATATTATATATTAAATTATTTATACAGTAATGAATATTGAGGTGCAGTGGGGCCTGAATTCCCACGTGGGAGGAGATATGTGATTGGCGGGGAGAAGATTAGGGGAGATTTTATAAAGCAGACTTTGCTTTGTTTGAATGGACCCTACCCCACGTGACATGTGGGCCCAACGGGCCCTTATGATGTCCAACTGGCGCTAGGGTTTTGAAAAGGTTTCTATAAGTGACGTTAGAAAAGGAAAATATAGAGTTTTTGGATTTTCAAGAATCGTCGAGATTTAAAAAACATGTCCTACGCTGGTTTTTACTAATTAATGAATAATCTAAAATAAATAGAATTTCTAGATTCGAAAACTCAAGTCAGTCCAGTCCATTCTATTAAGCTCGAGTTCGACTAAATTAAGTAGTTCTATCATTTTCAATTTAAATTCAACCCTAATCAAGTGAAGTAAAAAATCCATCGTAGTTGACATGTCTCGACTAATCAAGTAAACATTCGAGTTCAGAAAAACTCAACCTCGATTTCGATTTAAGCACCAAAGTAATGGTATAGGCATATGCTCGTGATTCTTAAAAGTGAATATCGCTCATATTTTTGCCTCTGCTCGATAGTTTCATAGCAGATTTTTTCAGATGTTTTCTAGGAACAGAAGAAACCACAATAATAACCACAAGGCCAAGTTGTCAAGTTGCCCAAAACATCTTATTATCCAATGGAAGTGTCCTAAATAGTCATTAGAGGATGAGAAAGTTTCTTCAACTACCGAGGAGTGAGAACAAAGCAAGCAATGCTACAAAACAAAGCACGGGGAGAGTAACATCAATTTTCTTTTGTAGATTAGTAGGGAAAAATACATAGTTACGGGCCCACATATGTTAGGTTGGGCCTACCATAAAGCCCACGGTCTTTGTCTGCAGAGGCACGTGGAAATGCCGTGGGATCTTTACCCAGTCATTTCTCATTTTTCTTTTTCGGACAATAGAAATTATTTTCATAATTTTTACTTATAATTATAAACATAAAAAACAAGAGAGCTAATAAATTCTCAAAATTTAACAAATTTGTCACAGTCAGTCCAAAGTATTCAAATTTGGCATGAAAATAATGATTGATTAGGCTCCGAATGGTATTTAAGGTGGGCCCCACAAAACAAACAAAAGAACTGGTCATGTGTAACAACAGCTGTAAGAAAATGGCGTAAAACTTGAAGCTCGTGACTCAAATTTCTATTCCCACTCTAACGGGCTCTTTCACTACAAAGCTAATTCTGTTTTTGACTCAATGTGGTACCAAGTGATAACTCTACAGCTTACCAATCTAACACTCACACATGGCTGCAGTTCCAACATGCCAATTACACAATGACACGTTGAATTTTCGAGTGTGACTGTTAGTGCACGTGGGACGGCGTGGTGTTGATTAACGTGTATAACATATTTGATATAATAGGTATGATCAAACAAAAGACTTGAGATACCTAACTATTCTGTCCAATCTAGGACACTTCAATATATGAAGGGCGAGTTTGGTACATTCTCTGTCTTTTGCTTCTGCATCTTGTAGAAGCTACCTTAAGTCAACTTACTCTAAAGCTATTCTAATAAGACAAAGCACTTATAGAAAATTATCCAAATAAGTTCAAAAGCAGCTTCTTAATCTCAAAATCGGCTCTTGACTTTCCAAAAGCCTTGTCAAAGGACCGTGAAAGATCTATAAACCTTACAACATTCTCATGTCTCGTTAATGTGAGCAAAATACATACAGGATCATCATCATTCTCACATGATGACCTCTCTTATCCATCTACTTTTAACGAGAAAAATCACATTTCATCGAACTTTGTATTATCTTCACCACACCAGTCTCTCTGTACCATAGAGGCGCCACCACCTAGCGCATTTTTAAAGAAATCTCTTCATTTGAATCTTGTGCACAGTGGAGTTAACCATCTAACACATCTACACGGCCAAGTCTAAAGTGTGACTTTGATTACATATGTTGAGACTTGAGTAAATCCAAAAAGTTTTACCTGAGTGGAACAACCCAACTGCTTTATTCGCATAAAAGATAATTCACAGTAAAAAGCTCCCTCAAGCTGTGTTTCTTGCCAAATACAACTAACTCCATTAATCAACTGTAGGCACCTTTGTCATTTTGTTTCAGCCAAAAACACTAGACTAATATTTTATTTTCGCAGTGCGATTACAGCTAGAAATGATTATGACACTTTTAATGATGCTACAAAACAAAGCACGGGGAGAGTAACATCAATTTTCTTTTGTAGATTAGTAAGGAAAAATACATAGTTACGGGCCCACATATGTTAGGTTGGGCCTACCATAAAGCCCACGGTCTTTGTCTGCAGAGGCACGTGGAAATGCCGTGGGATCTTTACCCAGTCATTTCTCATTTTTCTTTTTCGGACAATAGAAATTATTTTCATAATTTTTACTTATAATTATAAACATAAAAAACAAGAGAGCTAATAAATTCTCAAAATTTAACAAATTTGTCACAGTCAGTCCAAAGTATTCAAATTTGGCATGAAAATAATGATTGATTAGGCTCCGAATGGTATTTAAGGTGGGCCCCACAAAACAAACAAAAGAACTGGTCATGTGTAACAACAGCTGTAAGAAAATGGCGTAAAACTTGAAGCTCGTGACTCAAATTTCTATTCCCACTCTAACGGGCTCTTTCACTACAAAGCTAATTCTGTTTTTGACTCAATGTGGTACCAAGTGATAACTCTACAGCTTACCAATCTAACACTCACACATGGCTGCAGTTCCAATATGCCAATTACACGATGACACGTTGAATTTTCGAGTGTGACTGCTAGTGCACGTGGGACGGCGTGGTGTTGATTAACGTGTATAACATATTTGATATAATAGGTATGATCAAACAAAAGACGTGAGATACCTAACTATTCTGTCCAATCTAGGACACTTCAATATATGAAGGGCGAGTTTGGTACATTCTCTGTCTTTTGCTTCTGCATCTTGTAGAAGCTGCCTTAAGTCAACTTACTCTAAAGCTATTCTAATAAGACAAAGCACTTATAGAAAATTATCCAAATAAGTTCAAAAGCAGCTTCTTAATCTCAAAATCGGCTCTTGACTTTCCAAAAGCCTTGTCAAAGGACCGTGAAAGATCTATAAACCTTACAACATTCTCATGTCTCGTTAATGTGAGCAAAATACATACAGGATCATCATCATTCTCACATGATGACCTCTCTTATCCATCTACTTTTAACGAGAAAAATCACATTTCATCGAACTTTGTATTATCTTCACCACACCAGTCTCTCTGTACCATAGAGGCGCCACCACCTAGCGCATTTTTAAAGAAATCTCTTCATTTGAATCTTGTGCACAGTGGAGTTAACCATCTAACACATCTACACGGCCAAGTCTAAAGTGTGACTTTGATTACATATGTTGAGACTTGAGTAAATCCAAAAAGTTTTACCTGAGTGGAACAACCCAACTGCTTTATTCGCATAAAAGATAATTCACAGTAAAAAGCTCCCTCAAGCTGTGTTTCTTGCCAAATACAACTAACTCCATTAATCAACTGTAGGCACCTTTGTCATTTTGTTTCAGCCAAAAACACTAGACTAATATTTTATTTTCGCAGTGCGATTACAGCTAGAAATGATTATGACACTTTTAATGAAATTTTCTGCTGTAGCAGTTTTTAGAACAACTAAATTAATAAAAAATTCAAACGGGTGGGTTAATAGAAGAAAAGTCCAGCTGTAAACACGAAATCTTGAAATCAAATATTTTTCACCAACTTTTTCAATATTTCATGAAAGAAAAGTGGGTATCGATATTTCTCAGATTCTATCATTTGAAATATAACTATAAACCTATAGCTTTAGAAAAATTAAAGTGAGTGAAAAAAGGGAAAATAAATAAACATTGTTAGTCACTCAACTTATTGCGAAGTTTTCGTGTTAGTCATCAAAGTTTACTTTGTTTCAAATAATCAAAGAAGTTCACTTTTGTTTACGTTAAGGAGCTCAAATAGCACCCATTAATTTTTTAACAGAATCAATGGTGTGAAGGACATCCATGCAGTTGCAACTTCAAATTTTCACGTTGGGATTTTAAGCTGGAAAGAATAACATAGTTTAACTGAATGACCAAGCTAAAGCAAATTAAACTTCACTAACCACTATAAAACAAAACAAAGTTTGGTGACTACCATGAAACTTCGCTATAAGTTGATAGAGGAAAAGTTTTTTTAACTGGAAAAAAATGAAAAGTCTCGCTATTAACCTTCTCTAATCAGAAATTATATTACTTCGAATCTTCACATCAAATCATGACTAGCAGAGGAAACGATGGGATAGTAACGGCGACTTCATAAAATGGAGACATTTTCATACTATTAATCATAAAGCAACAAAAGAAATGAGAGAATTATACAAAACAGCTGAGAAAACCGCATACTTACAAACACCAGGTCAGCAGATCAAGTGCATCAGAAGTTGACACTAACAGCAGCTAATCTTCATTGTGTACTCTTTCCCCTCCCCTTCTGTTTTTTCTCTTTTCCTTTTTTGGTTTAACGCGAAGTGGATTTTCTTTTCCCTGTGGGGCTTGGTCACATTTGGACTCCCACTAGAAAGCACTGATGAGATGATCCAATCAGAAAGGATAGAAACCCCTTCTCAGGTCCCTTATGAAGAAGGGGTGTGATAGAGCTTCTCTTGCTTTGAGCCGCTCTGCAGGGTCATACCGTAAAAGCCCTTGCAAAAGATTAATCAGATCTCCAGCCGAGTGGTCTACATGCTGCATGATCAGGTTCTGGAATACAGTGGAGAGATGACATAAGTGCCACCCTTGGAAGCTTAGTGTCAAATTAAAAATACTGGTAAAAGAAAACTTGAAACTAAACCTTAATGTTGTAAAATATTTTGCCCTATAAAAGGGTCGACTTCTCTTTTTAATATTATGTACATACCAAAGAATCTCATTTCGGACGCGCCTCTTACCAACTCTAACATGGGCACAAATGCCAAACAACCTAAAGCTGCCACAATCAGTTGGTAAGAAACAAAAGCTTGACGTAAAATATTTTGCACTAACAAAAGGTCAACTTCTCTTTCTAATATTCTGTGCGTACCAAAGAATGTCATTAATGACACGCCTCTTACCAACTCTAACATGGCCACAAGTGTTAAACAACCTGAAGCTGCCATGATCAGTTGGTAAGTTGTCAGAGTTCTCGAGAAAAAATTTCTTTCCAGCCACTCGGTCAATTAAGCAACTGCAATACATTTATAGTCATTTAAACAACTGCCCTACAAATCCTCTCATAAATGGCTGTTCACCTAGACCTGCTTCCAGCTGCAGACTAAGGTATCGCATCCAAAACTTCTGATATGTCATCAACTTTAGACCGTATTCAATTTCAGCAATTTCTGAAATAGATAACTATGTGGCAAACCTAAGCGAACCTGAAGGCAGATTATAGTTTAGCTTCAACAGGCTTAATTAGCAGTTCATCTCTAAGGTACACTACATCTAACGGGACTGAAAAGCAGGTTTTAATAGAATTCCTATTTGCACATCTCAAGGGTTTGAGGCCTGCTGAAAAGAAGTCTCTTTGTGGTTGTTGATTGAAAATAACCAAATACGCACTCAGAAAATTGCAAATTGCCTTAGTCTAAATATACTGACTGGATGTGTGTAATAACAATTAGGTTCCCGGTTGTCCATATGCATAAAGTATAACATGTAGAGGCAAGACAAATGCCTCGGTGTTATTAAATAAATCTCTCCCAAACATCATAGAAGAACATTTGATGATCAGAAAGAACAAATGCATGTATCGTATTCTAAAGTATGCCCCAACAAATAGGACCACAACAGCTAAATGCACCTACCTAGTTGCCCTCACTCCCCACATACAGTCTCTTGCCAGACTGTGGAAGTTAGAATGCAAAAACCTACATAAATCCAAGCTACTCTCCGAAACAGATAAATCAAACCACAGACCCAGAGAAAAATAAAGAATAATCTAAAAGGAATAAGATAAAAAAGAAAGGGAAGAGGAGGTAAAAACAAAATTTTAATTCTGAGAGAACAGCCTAAGTGGGAATATTTACTAAGACAAGTGTAGAATTAATTGGTATTCCAGATAGCAAAAGATAAATCAGGCAGGCACCTACCACCATCTCAGGCTAGACGCTTGACAATCATTTATTTGCTCTGTTATCTCCCAAAGAAAGAAACTAAGCCCCTGTTTGAGCCCCATTCTTTAAAATCTAATTTTTTTCCAAATTCATTTTCAACCGAATATTCTCTCAAAAAAATAATTTTACATGAACCCAAAAATTTTCCATGCTTTTTAACCAGACATTCTTCAAAAATCACTATACAAACTCTACTCTCCCAAAAAATGGGGCTCAAACCAACCCCAAAATAGAAACTCTTATATAATTTTTCGTAGCTATACAAGAGAAAGAAACAATTCCTGCATAGTTTAGAGATTACAAGACTAATAATCACCTGAAGACATGGCAATTTCCAAACTGCCCGCATACTTTCCCTTGAAGTTGCACCCTCAGGCCAATCCAACTTTGCACCCCTTCTAAAATATTTCTCAGCCTGCCGACTGCAGAAGAAGTAACAAGTAACTATCAGAATCATTCGCACAGCTTATTCCATGACATGATGCAAAATATATATATTGAATTTTACTCTGCTTGCATCATCATATGTTGAGGCAGTGGCCCCAAAACCCTTTCCATCATAGCAAGATGTTCCAGGTTCTCGTGAGTTTGGAAAAGTGCATCTCCCTGTTGCAAAAATATAAATAAATAAAAAATAAATTAATTAAAATTTATGGATGCATTGACAGTTAAAAATATTGACTACAGCACTAGCATGCTTCCTTAGAAAGCCATCTTAGATGGTAATAGGCACAGTATGAATCAATCTAAAGAGTGCAAGTACGAATATAAAGATGTGACAAGTAACCCAATGTGCAAATAGATCCTTCGCAGTAATACAATCAACAGAACAAGATTCGTAAGTAGATGGACCAGCCACAATGGCGCACATACATAAATAACAATGTCGAGATATTAATTAAAACCCAGAATGTGTAATTGGAAAAGGTAGTGGAAAACTATATATGTTGCTTTTTTACTTACAGTGCACAGTTCAATAAGTATGCAACCTATACTCCACATATCACAAGGATAGTTCCATCCAAGACCTACAGAAAATATCATTAGCAATAACTCATTGAACCAACTGAAACAAATTAAAAATGAAAACAAAAGAATACAAGAACCACCAATTACCTAAAATAACCTCCGGAGCACGATAATGACGTGTAGACACCACATAGTTATGATCCTGATGTTCAAATGTAGTGCTGCCGAAATCAATAAGCTTTATAGAGCTTGATTTGGGCAGATTTTTGAAATAGGTAGCATTTTTTGTAGATCTGGATAGGAACTTCATTCCAGGTAAAAGGAGGAATAAAAATCATCAGGCATCAAAACTTATAATTAGTTTATTAAATTCAGAAGTACAAAAACTCTCGTTACCCATCTCAACATAATAAGCCCCCGTTTCATTCCCATTTTTTGGCCACAAAAATGAAAAATATGACCGTTATCCATCACATCAAGTCGCCATATTTGACTTTCTATCTCTTGTGTTGATTCCGTAACAGTTATATTTTTCATTCTCATTCTTATAAAAATGTGTAATAAGTAGGGCCTAAAAATACAGTTGTAGAAGTAATCCCAAACTCATTAAGTTAAGACACAATTAAACAATTATATAAAAGAAAAATGGAATTGTTGAACATTAAGTTCTTGTTTGATCCCCATTTTCCCAAAACTCATTTTTTCCATAACTAATTCCAACCATGCATTCACACAATAAAATATTCTGCATGTAAGCTCAAATTTTTTCTTACTTTCTGACCACACATTTTCAAGATCACTATTCCAAAATCTATTAACCCCAAAAAATGGGGCTCAAACAAGATGTAAGTAACAAGTGTGTAAATCATATACAAAGAAAAAGGGAACCTACATGCGTAATTAATTACCATGCTCATTCGTTGAAATTTTTTATGAACATTGATCATATTAAAGATAAACAAATAGAAATGATGTCAGATAAAAAGTTGACCATAAGAATATAGCCAAAAGAAACTAAGAGGACGACAAGAAAATTAACCTAAGCCTAGCATAACTCCAAACTTCTGGCAATCAGATCCACATATAAGAAACTGTGTTACCTTTTTGGACTGACTACAATTGTAAAATCAGTAAAAAATGAGAGATGTAACTAAACTACTATACGAAAGAAGAAAAAGAATTGGTGAACAACTAACAAAAAGATGTGTACAATGAAATACGGAACCTATATGCATATTGCATAATTAATCATTCATTGAATGTTTTAAAGTACACTTCATATGAAAGTTGAACAAACAGATACGATTTCAGATTAAAAAAAAAAATATTGACCAATAAAATATAGCTAAATGAAACTACTAAGAAGACAAGAAAGTTAACCTGAGCCTAAATGAAAAAATTGCTTTACATTTTTTGGACCCAGTACAATTGTAAAATCATTTAAGAAAATAAAAAATAAGAAATGAGCTAGATGAAATATACCTTATAATCAGGCACTTTAATATACTCTGAGGAAACAAGAAGAATATTTTCTGGTTTAAGATCAGTGTGAATCAGGCGCAGATCATGCATAACTGCAAATAAAAGCAACAATAATAGATTAAAGTCTATAAATCATAAGGTAAATATTAAAAACGGACGCAAAAGCCAATTGATGCCTAAATCAGATATCAATTTTGATAAATATAGAAATTGAATGAAAGCAATATATCTTGGTGCAAAGATATGTCCACACACATGCCACAGATTCCAAAAGTTGTCTGCCAAACTCCCGAACAAGATCAATGGGAAATGAACGATAGCTGTTTTTGCGTAGAAAATCGTATAAGCTTGGACCAAGCTTCTCAAAAACCTGTTAAGACCATTTAAATCCATCCGCAAGATTTTAACTCGCACAATATTCGAGCAAGAAGTAATATCATAGCCCTTTCAAATTTAAGGAACCGTGAATTATAATAAATACTTACAATACAAATATGATTACGATAGTCAAACCAATTCCGTATTTGCACACAACTGCAAAGAATGAAACCACTTATACCAAAATAACTTCAAGTTTTTCTTCTAGGAGATAAATTAAGCAAAAAATTGAAAGCAGAGATCTACCGTGTGCCACGAACGTCATGTCTTGCAAGTTTCTGTAAGACATTAATCTCAATCATGGCAGCTTCCCGGTATTTACGTATTGAGCGGACAATTTTAATCGCAACAATCTCTTTCTTTTCATTGTCCAAGCATTCAAGAACTTGCCCAAAAGTTCCTGCAATCAAGGGGGGGGGGGGGGACACATTGATCATAAGAAACATCAAACACGTGAGAGTTGAATCCACAACTATAGGACGGTATCAAAACAACTTTACATGGATTCCAAGATAAATGCCGAGTTATCTGCACTATTGCTGAATGAAAACATAGACATGTTCCTTAACATACTCTCATAGATTTTTATATTAGATGTTTCTTAAAGTAAAACGGAGATATAGTTATTATAAAAATGAGTTACAAAAAAAACATTTGGGTGGCAGATTTGTTCTTCAATAGTGATGGCCATGCTTGCTTCAGGTTATTCACCTCTTGTACTACAATAAGGCTTACAAATTACCACATCAAGGTTAGTTTGTTGAAGTGGAGGGGTGACAGCATAGTTAACTGAAGAAACCTAATCTAACATGCGGACAACAAAAATCTAACCTAACATAAGCATTTCCACTCTGGAAAAATGAATGTAAGAAACAATGTGAGAGGCCCACATATGTATAGCAGAGTGCACAAGCTATCACAGCAAAGGTGTTCGAGGAGCATGCTCTAAAAGAACTCCTAAAAAAGCATCAATCAGAATTATCATTTAAGCCACTCTCCAATTCACACCCTTAAGTATTTCAAGTACACTTACAACGAGAAGTTAAATTCTCGCCAATGGCAAAAGCATAGTGACCATCCTTATCATCCGACCTCCATGGTGGAGAACCATTGTGGGGAACCCCCTTGTAATATATAGAAGAATAAGCATAATTGGTGACTGGCCCAAGCTCTTTTCCAAGGTATAATGTTGGAAGGATCTGCACAAGAAACAATATTCAGTCTTCATACGACAACACAATAACCATATAGTTAATCCATACGAGGGAAATCACTATGATCAGTGTGAAACTACAACAAACTTTTTTATCTTATTAGCTTCACCACCATCCCTTCAATTTCTCAACACTTAAATCAACTATGTTACATGATTGATTGTTCTTGCATTCTTGCATTACTTGGTACAGAAATATTCATAAGTTTGTCCTAAATATACACAACCTATAAAACTTAATTATCAAATAGTTCAACCTCAAATATTTTTATAAGACCCATGGAAAAACAAAATCAAGCCAGTACACAACTTTATGGTCAACAAGACAAACTAAAGAAAACTTTCCAGAGTACATTTTTTCACAAGTACCAAGACATTCTCCAATTCTTAGCTTCTATCCCAATCAAGGAAATTCTAGCACGTGTTTTAGAGAAAAGACGCAAGAAAGTAAGATCGCAGAACTATAGCACATTGAAAGGAAAACAAGTTCAGAAATTCAGGCAATGGAGACATTTTATCTAAAATAAATCCTAAATAGCAAACAAACAAATTTTATTAAATCACATGTAAACAGTGCAAGATATCAAACATTCAATTGAAAGCCCTAACTTATTAAAAATGCTTTATAAAAACGTAAGAGAATTGTAAAAATTCATATATATAAAATCAGACCTTGGGATGATCGGGAGGAAGGGCGGGAGGCATGTCCCATGTTAAACGAGGTCGTTTCCTGGGCCTCTTATCCGTGCTTTTGTGATGAAAATCCACCACTCTGGGCGTCTCCATTTTCGTCCAAAATTTAAAAATTCAATGAATATAATCGAGAAAAAAATTACGATTGTAGACTATTTGGCTAAGAAGAATATTTTTTTATGAGGGATCTAGTGCTCAAATTTTCAATTTCAACAATTTTTTTTTTTTTTTTTAATAATTTGGGTTTGAATAGATCTGAGGGCAGAGCAATGTCAGCCAAATTAAAAAATGAAAAATAAAAAATAAAATTGTGCTTGGTTGTCAGTGAACGAGATTCTCTCCAGTCTCATCCCTCCGATTCCTACAGTTTAGCAAATGTAAGTGGTAACATATTTTTGACGATTTTTAATTCAAAAATGGTATACAGTGTAAATTGTGCACCGGGTGCGTCTTGGATTAGGGATCCAACTGCCTCTGAGGAATTCACTTCTTGTCTGAAAGCCAATTTCAACAGTTTTTTAGCAAAATTCTGCTCAATATACAGTAGAAAGGCAGCTGTATTTATTAATCAAACCGAGCGGAATTACCTTTGAACCATTTTGAAATTTATTTCATTGTATTTGAGAGATAGACATTTCAAAGAATTTGCTTGATGGTCCAGATTAATCTTAAAATCTAGCAAGAATCGTGCCCAGACAAACACTTATTATCCTAACAAAATGTCCGTTCGAGCATTACAATATTAATATTGAATTGCATTAAAAAAAAGTTGTCACATAAATTAAAATAGATAATATATTTAAAACTTTCTCTTCAATGCAACTTGTTAATGTTTAGCGATATGATAAGAGAAAACGAATGTCTAAAAAGTCGAGCCTCATATGACACCAGTTAATCTTAAAATCTAGCAAGAATCGTGCCCAGACAAACACTTATTATCCTAACAAAATGTCCGTTCGAGCATTACAATATTAATATTGAATTGCATTAAAAAAAAGTTGTCACATAAATTAAAATAGATAATATATTTAAAACTTTCTCTTCAATGCAACTTGTTAATGTTTAGCGATATGATAAGAGAAAACGAATGTCTAAAAAGTCGAGCCTCATATGACACCAGTCACCCAACTATCTATAGACGGGCTAGTCCACAGTTTTGTTGATACTTGAATCTAGCCATTCTTTCACATGATCCGACATTTTTTAACACCTCTACATGTGGGCAGGTTGGGGCTAGAATTTTAGAATTGTGGGACAAAATTGAAAAGTATAAAAAAAAAAATTTTGAACAATGTAGTTATATCTACACAACATTTTTTTATTTCTAACACCATATTTTAATTGCACTTGAGATTCTTAGGCCATGTTTGAGCCATATTTTTTCAAAAAAATATTTTTTTAAGTAGTGATTGGACATCATTTCAACTGCACGTTTTTCAATAAAATAATATTACACGTAAATTCAAAACCTTTCTTTATTTTTGAACCACACATTTATTATCAATACACTATTCAAAAATGCATTATAAAAAAAATAATGTGGCTCAAACAAAGGCTAATCTTTATTCATTATAGCACTTGTGTTTCTAATAATTTTTCATGTCATTCTTATCTTCAACTTCCATTAATTAACATATTTTATATTTGATAATAGTTTTATGTTCAAAAGTTTTTTAAAATTCTGTAAAGAAATTTATTTTCCCACCAAATGTTTAAAAAA